GAGTAACTTTATTCATTCTATAATTAGCGTAGAAATGGAACTAAAAACCGTTTATTACAAAACAATTAACTCAGCAAAAATCAATAAGATAAAACTGGACCAAATAATGCATAACTAAAATGCTTTTTAAAGAAACTTTAACCTAGCATATGATCATTATTCCAACCTTGTAAATTACACAATTTTTAGTCATTTCAAACACTAACGTGGCGTGTAGAAATGATTTTGGCATATTTGTCCACCTCCTCGCTTTCACAAAACCCCAGTCTTACGATGTGAAATACTCCCATAGAAAATTGATCGGCACTGACGCTGTCGTTTTATCAGCGAGGCCCACTCGTCACAACACCTTGTTTGCCAGCGCGTAAATATCGCGTAAACATCGCGTAAAATGTGGGACGAACGTAAACATAAACCGGCGGTGTCGAAAAGGCCGGTGCGATATTGATTTTGATCGACTTTGAATTAAGTTTTGCAAATTTTATGATACGCTGTAGTTGACTGACGTGACTCGTGTTATTTAAGTTAAAAACACGGGTTAAAGTATCCCGTGGAATAATTTTGTTAGATTAAAGAAGCCCACATTATTAAGGTTTGCCGATTTTGATCTCAAAGCGATCGGTGATTAAAATCACTGATTATTGAACAAAATGTCGGCGACGCGTGCCTAAGTACGAACTTCTTTGAATTTGTGTTGCGGTAATTGCATATCTACGCAAATCTTCGACATCTTCGGGCATCGAAATCTACGTAGTCTTGTGTACGACGAAGGTCACAAACGCTCGACCGTCTTCCAAAGGCAACCGGCGATTTGCTATGTACACAGTGGGCCGCACCGCCCGTGCCCAGGATCTTCGGCGCGTCAGTCAGGATTTTCGGCTTTGCCCATCAACTCGCGTCCGCTCCACTGGGCAGCTACGAGTACAATCGCTTTGCCGACAAATGCCCGGCTCGCCGGCCGTCTGCCTCTGATGAAGGGAGGGTCAGTTTGAAAAATAAACACGACTGAATTTGAAATTTGAAGCTAAAGGTCCAGTAGGTATTGTAGGTATGTTGAAACCTTCTGTTCCTACTGTACTGATACAAATATCGGTTAATTTACTTTTGGCCCTGCGCTCATCTCTTTCATTCTGGTGAGGAGATGCATGCCAAGAGATTTTCTTTTCAAAATTAAATTCCTTATTGCTGCATGTTGCTATACAAAGGTTCTAATCGTGACAATTAGGCTTATCAGACGCGACGATTTATTTTTGAGTATACCTACTTTGTGACAGAGGAATAGTGTCACCTCGGCGACATAAATATCTTTGTTCTCCAAAACTTAAGATTCTAATGTTGTAAAGAAAAACAATTGTAACTTTGAGCCACTCAAGCCAGCCTGCCGTATCAGCACGGCCACGACTCAACACGGTCGGCTGCACAGCGATTCATAACAATGGCACATCACTAATGCTGGCTAATCTGGGGAGAGATTTGTTTTGATTCCATTCGAGTTCAGTCAGTCATGGATATGCAGTGGCGCTTGAAGGGTTAAGAATTACTTGATGGCTTAAGATTGGACGCTGAATTTCTGACCATTTTGATATACTTAAGATTTTATCAAGAGCATTGATATTTCTGAGTACAAAAAAAACTTTTTAAATCATTTGTAATTACAAACAATATACCTATTTTTCCAAATATTTAAGATGCTACATTGTTCAGCTTGATACCTACGCGAGATAGTTCATCATCACCATCATCATTTCAGCCACAGGACGTCCACTGCTGAACATAGGCCTCCCCCAATGACTTCCAAATCGCACAGTTGGTAGCGGCCTGCATCCAGCGCCTTCCTGCTATTTTTATTAGGTCGTCGGTCCACCTTGTGGTTGGACGTCTCACGCTGCGTTTTCCGGTACGCGAGATTGTTAAAATCTCAAAAACGTCAAAATATCCCTCTACAAAATTCCTTTTATCAACGAAGGAATCTAGCAAAGTAATCATGAGACAGGTGACGTCAAACTATAATTCTAGCGCGACATTCAGCTTAAAATGTCATCCTCATCTTATAATATCCCTCCGGAAATTCACGACAAGTAACTGACATTAATCAGACGGCGCAATTAATATTTACAGAAACAATTTGCATAACACCTTCCCCTTAAATATTTAAGCCTTGATGCGACAGGATCTCCTCTTAGTTTTGAAATTAATATTAAACTAAAGTTATCCAATAACTACTTTAAATAATAAAATTTTAATTAGGGAGTTTCAGTTACAGTTATTTTGTATTAAATTCAAAGGAAGATACTTTCTAACGCCGAGCAAGTGAACTTTTATCTGACGCATGAAAAACGCAATTCCCGATTAAATAAACAAACACTTTGATATTGAGATATTACAAAACATCTTGAATAATAATGAACTATTTAAACTCAAGTGCATAGTCAATGTGACCTATCGTTTATAACCACAAATGCAACTGCGACCGCAACAATAAACGAGCACTGTCAACCCGATTATCAGTTGTTCACAAACGGTCTAGTTTAGTCAGATCATAAAGTTACCCATTGACGATTGACGTCCGCCAGCGTCAGACGGCTTAGCGCTCATCCCGCTCAGCTCGCGAATCAAGCGCTCCATTGCACTCAAATCCAGCCCTAATTGAATTTTGAAAGCATTTTTGACAGCCCCCTTAGTGGGATAGAATTGCCGATAAAACTGTCGGCCGAGGGGTTAACGGTTGATGTGTTAATGCAACAATATGCGACGACACTGATACCCAATTATGTGAATTAATTACACTTATTTGTAGAATAGAAAGCAACACAATTCTGATTTAGAGAACCTTAATACAAGTACGGAAGCTTTTTCTTTTTTTGTTCTTTTAGAATTGAGATTTTCAACGTCAAAGACAAAATTTCTTTATTTGTATAGAATTATCAACAGTGCCTACTTACAAATCGCCAAATTACCTTTTACTTACCTATTTTACTTAGCAGAATATTAAGACGGTGCACATCTTAATTTAAACTTTAACAAACGTCAAAAGCCTGCTAAACTCCACAAAAACACCGCTTAAAGTTATAGTTACGGTGATGCAACTCAGCGTTAGTAAACTTCTGTAACTGTTAATATGTCAGCACGTAACTGATTCACAAACTTACATTACATTACCCCTACTATTATTACAAGTTGTTAGATTAGCGGGCACATCTTCACGTCATACAATAATCTAATGCATCTGAAAACGCGCGAACACAAGCTGAGAGCATGAATATTCAAAGCACAGCGCACTTCACGTATCACCAAGAACACATAATTACCTAATTGTGTAATGGAATTTCTCAGTGCAATTAACAAAGCCGCCCACGTCCGACTGTATACAATGTATACGTAGACAGACATTGTCTGTATACTGTATAGACAGACAATATGCGTAACGAAAACACGTGCGCTACATGCGAACGTGTTAATTACAGCACACGCTGGAAATTGATTGACTTACACAAGCTTTTCAAAACGTATATGCCCTGAAGCACCGTTGCAGACCATATATTTCACACGGCTTGTTTTTACAGTAAAAGTAGTAAACTTCTGAAGTTTCTGAACGCACGAATTTTGTTAGAGAAGAGGATTAATGTAGATAATGTTCTTTATGCTTTAGAGCAGTGTTTTTCCACCGTTTATAGGGGGTCGCGAGAGGTCGTAAAAACTACCACAGTAAAAATAATCACTAAAGTTATAAAGAAAGATTTATCCGAAATCTAATTATGCAAATGCATAAATGTTGTATGGATTTAATATTCGATTCCTACAACATCTTTGTAACATTATAAAATGCATGAAAAAAAAGCGAGCGGTCGGGGGGTCGCAAGTTATTTTTTCATACTAGGGGGGTCGCTTTGAAAAAGGTTGAATTTAGAGATAACAAAGTATAGTAGATTTTATAGAGGCGGTGTATAGCTTATAAACAATGACTAGACAACGCCTACTTAAACAACATCTTATTGGTGAAAACCAACATTTTATTGATATGTTGCGTATAATTTATACTTTTTAAATACACCCGTGTTATACAAGCTTAAACTCTAAAGATTTACTAGGCTAGAACATAATACAAAACAATCAAAAGCAGAAAGTCCAGATTTCAAAGTAATCTCAGACTCGGAAGTGAATGACATCGTAAATCGAGGGACTTACAGCGACTTATCTTGTTGACTGTACGCTTACACATTCAGCACAGCGCAGGTGTAATTAATTTGAAACTAACTATGGGAGCCGACATTTACGTAATTATGTTCTACAAAACTTGTCTCTACTTTTGATTTTGGAAGTAAGGATCCCATGCAAAATTAGGTAGAAAATGTATCAAATTTGAAGGTACAAGTTCAGACGAACAGAAAATTTTTATCTCCGAAATAATCCCTTAATTGGGTCATGAGGTGTTTAGTTTGTATGGGGAAACCATTGTCCATGAGGGCGATATGAAACTCATTATCATGCTTTAGGGATAATAATTTGTTTTTGAAACGGGAAACGCGTGATAGATTATTTTTTTCTGTAACCGACGCAAGCAAAAGCAAGTAGATAGATAGATAGATAACAATATTAAACAACAACAACACAACGAAAATAAAAAATAAATAAAAACAAAAGAACAATTACATAGCCATTGCGTCAATAGGCTCCCCGCTCAGCACTTATCTTGACATGACCTTACGAGCATGTCAAGAAGCTAGTCTTCCGCGGGCGCCCTTACTGTTGGCATCGCGCAACTATCAAAATCAAAATTATCTTTATTTGTGTAGACTAATTAAATTAGTACTTACAAATTGTCAAATGCTCTTAAGGAGCCTATACATGTCTCATTCATTTTTTGCCTTACCAGCGCTTCGAGACAAACATTAAAATTTGGCAAGTGCTGAGAAGAAGCGCCGCAACAAACTCAGTAACCACTGTCTGCCGGTTCAGTAATATGGCATAAGTATACTAAATGACAATCTCTTTTGTTCCAGGTCAAAGTGATGCTCCGAGTGGGCGCGCCTGGCGAGGGTCCGTTCACCAGCGGCTCGCAGACCTTCTCGCTGGACAAGCGCAAGAAGCAAGTCAGCCTGTGCGAGAACCAACCGGCGGCGGCGGCGGCGCCCGAAGACCGGCGGGTCGGCGTGGCCGCGCCCAAGATGTTCGCGTTTGATGCCATCTTCTCGCAAGATGACTCTCAGGTGAGATTATAACATAACCTACTCATAGTATAGAGTAGTACAGCAGGTCAGCTAGTGAGAGAGCCAGCCGGCGGCGGCGGCGGCGGCGGCGCCCGAAGACCGGCGGATCGGCGTGGCCGCGCTCAAGATGTTCATATTTGATGCCATCTTCTCGTAGAATGACTATGTCAGTTTTCTCACATTATACTCGTAAACTCGTAGTTCTTCCACTTTCAACAGGGGTCTATTGAATACAGGCGCCATGACTTGCGCTACAGTTGGTTGTGGATTATGCTGAGTGAGGTCCTGTTGATTTGAAAGAAAAAGCTGATTGTTTGGGTTATCTATACCTTTGTAGACCCTATCATCATCAGATATTTTATCTTCACTGCTCATGCACAACCTTATCTCATTTACCAAACCTTTATGCTTTCACCGTCATATTTTTCTACGTTACGTACCTTTTTGGATAGTTTTGACAGAACACGCCGGCATTTCCTAAATTAGCGGGGTTCATTGGATATTCCGTGCGACGGAGTACGCCCGGCCGACGTTCCTCTGAAATAAGAAAATAGCTACTATTACATAAAACTTTTCGCGACAGACTCGGTCCAATTCATAAGCTGATATGAGAAAAGAATGTAAATAATATGGAAATTAAGCGCTTCGCCTTATCACCGAAAAGGTTGTGTTGTGCCTACGGCTTTTCACATTTTGGGGTATCATATAATGTCTTTATACATATGTAACCACCTTTTACCTACATTTCGGGCTATCATAGAAAATCTTTATGGCACATTCCATGCGCAAAAATTTTAATTCTTTAAGAATACAATACATACACACTCCTACAGTATGTAAAAATCCGTACCGAATCGAAAGAAGGTGATTCAGCTTAATATTTTTTAAATAGTTTAGGCATTGCAAAGTTTGGGCCTTTATGACGTAGTGTATTTATGCAAGGATATTTTATAGCACTGTGTCATTATTTATGACTGTAAGCTGTTACAAATTTTGTATAGGCAAGTGAATTTATTGTTTGCCTAAATAAAAATATACAATTTAAACGCTAAATTCGGCAACTTGCATCTTAAACACACTCGTAGCAAGCCGGCAGCATCTCACCGAAACTCCAGCAAAAATGTCTCCAGCCCGGCTCTGTTTGAATTGTTAAACGATGCGTGGAATATTCGCCAAACGATTTTATAATGCATTTCCGAATTTTCTAACAGACGGCTAACAACGTAAATACATTGTAACAATAGCAAATCGAATTGTTTGGTCGAATATTTCAAAATGTAGCCGCTAATCTCGCGCGTTATTGAGTTATTAAGCAGATGCATATTATTTAAAACTACTGCTCGGAAACAAGCTTTGGAATCTTACACTATCAGGCATTATTTCATAGTCAACCTTTGAAAACCCGAATCGAGAAAAAATCACGGCAGTGCATGATTATACATATTTTAAAGAGAAGGGGAGATTTTCTCATTATGAAGAAATTCAGCAAATCTCCTGCATTCCGAATTCTCTTTTTTTTCCAACCACTCACCGTAAAGTTGATCAATTTATGTTAAAACATAACACGATATTCAAAACCACAACTACCCTCATGCCTCACTGCCAATTTAATTAACTACCTTCCAAAGCTTGTGGGATAGGACTTTAATGAATCCACGTGTAAAATCATGCAGCGAATTCCTCCGGGCTGTANTTTTTTCTATAACCGACGCAAGCAAAAGCAAGTAGATAGATAGATAGATAACAATATTAAACAACAACAACGGCTACCTAAGTAAACTCCGACAAACTTTACTTCGACATTACGTTACTCCGACATTTCTGAATATCGACATGACTTTACTTCGACACTACACTACTCCGACAAAGGATATTCGCCTTTGTCTAAGTAGTGTATTGTCGAAGTAAAGTCATGTCGATATTCAGTAGTGTCGGAGTAACGTAATGTCTAAGTAACGTTTGTCGAAGTTCAGTTTTTGAGCCGCTCCCCGCTCAGCATTTATCTTGACAGGCCCTTACGAGTATGTAAAGAAGCTGGTCTTCCGCGGGCGTCCTTGCTGTTGGTATCGCGCAAGTACCTATTCTACACTAATATTATAAAGAGGAAAACTTTGTTTGTTTGTTTGATTGTAATGAATAGACTCAAAAACTACTGGACCGTTTTTAAAATTCTTTCACCATTCGAAAGCTACATTATACACGAGTAACATAGGCTAAATTTTATTTTGGCAAAAAATGGGGTTTCGTAAAATATGTAGATCATGTAGTCCACGCGCGTGAAAGCCGCGGGCGGAAAGCTAGTATAACAGCCGGCTCCCTGTTGACATACCGGTATCCGGTATGTTGACCATACAAATAATATTAATAACAGATAACACAAAGTGAGCTAATGTCAATCAAGGAAAGGCTAAATGACAATCTCTTTTGTTCCAGGTCAAAGTGATGCTCCGAGTGGGCGCGCCCGGTGAGGGTCCCTTCACGAGCGGCTCGCAGACCTTCTCGCTGGACAAGCGCAAGAAGCAAGTCAGCCTGTGCGAGAACCAACCGGCAGCGGCGGCGGCGCCAGAAGACCGGCGGGTCGGCGTGGCCGCGCCCAAGATGTTCGCGTTTGATGCCATTTTCTCGCAAGATGACTCTCAGGTGAGTTTGTCATAATACCTATACTGGTCATCACAAAAATCGGCCCACCTACGTTTTACAGGAAAACTCGTTTCTACTGACACAATCATGGTGCTCCAACAATATTGGTGTTATTTGAAAGCCCAATAAATATTCTTAAAGAAAAACACATTTAATTTCTAAATAAACGATGAACATAAACGCGATATACAATAAATGTGACTTGAAAAAAGACCTCACTTTGGGCTCACCTCTGGGATCAATTAGACCAATTTTTTATGGTTATAAAACCAAATAATGATCTCACGTGTCCTCTTTAACAGATGGATAGCGATTAATCCAAACTTAACAGTTTTATAGTCATAAAAGTTGGCTCAAGCGTAACTATTTTTTGAAGAAGTGACTCTGGATTCTTCTACAGACACATTTTTGGGGTAAAAACCTTTCCATTAAGGAAATAAAGTTTAGAACTAGGCTTTTAAATGGTGCCAATATTGGTGGGAAGTGGGGATGCATACGTTTAAAAGTGCTTGTCGCAGGAGGGTCGATTTTTGTGATGACCAGTGTATATTATTCAGTCGTACAGTAAACCAGTCTGTACGAAAACCAACCGGCGGCGGCGGCAGAAGACCGGTGGTTAGGCGTGACTGCGCTTACGATTCAAGGGACTCATGTCAGTTTGCTCATTATAGTTCTTCCACTTTCAACAGCGGTCCACTGAATACAGGCGCCATGATTTGCGCTACATCTGGTTGTGGATTATGATGATAGAGGTCCTGTTAATATAGAAAATAAAAGAACTGATTGGGTTATCTATGCCTTTGTGATGTCCATCATAATCATCATCAGATATTTTATCTTCACTGCTCATGCACAACACAACCTTATCTCATTTACCAAACCTTTATGCTTTCACCGTCATGTTTTTCTACGTTACATACCTTTTTGGATAGTTTTGACAGAACACGCCGGCATTTCCGGAATTAGCGGGGTTCATTGGATATTCCGTGCGACGGAGTCCCGCCTGGCCGACGTTCCTCTGAAATAAGAAAATAGCTACGATTACATAAAACTTTTCGCGACAGACTCGGTGCAATTCATAAGCTGATATGAGAACAGAATGTAAATAATATGGAAATTAAGCGCTTCGCCTTATCACCGAAAAGGTTGTGTTGTGCCTACGGCTTTTCACATTTTGGGGTATCATATAATGTCTTTATACATATGTACCACCTTTTACCTACATTTCGGGCTATCATAGAAAATCTTTATGGCACATTCCATGCGCAAAAATTGTAATTCTTTAAGAATACAATACATACACACTCCTACAGTATGTAAAAATCCGTACCGAATAGAATTATTGTAATTCTGCTTAATATTTTTTAAATAGTTTAGGTATTGCAAAGTTTGGGCCTATATGACGTAGTGTATTTATGCAAGGATATATTATAGCACGGAATTAATAATGAAACCACTCCTTTCTTTGTCTTCTATATTCCTATACTTACCTATAATAAATCTGTAGAGAGGTCAATACTGTACATGAAATATATTTTCAAAATAACTATCAGGGGGTGATTAGTGATCGATACTGATGCCAAAAATGCAATCAGTAAAATTTTTGTCTGTCTGTATGTTCCTTATAGAAACAAAAACTACTCGACGGATTTTAACGAAATTTGGTACAATTATTCTTCATACTCATGGGCAGGTTATAGTATACTAGGAATTCCAACGGGAACGGGAATTAGCGGGAAAATCCTTTTGTGTGAAAAATCTAAACCGCTTAAGTTAGACGCTTGAAATTTGGCATGCAGGTACCTTAGTAAACGTAAAGCTTAGTTACAATAGGATATTGCAAAATTCCCACGGGAACGGGAGTTAGCGGGAAAAAACATTTGTATGAAAAAATCTAAACCGCGTAAGATAGATGAAGAGGGTAAAACGGGATCCACGCGTACGAAGTCGCGGGCGGCCGCTAGTAATTAATATGACAGTAAGCTGTTACAAATTTTGTATGGGCAAGTGAATTTATTGTTTGCTTAAATAAAAATATACAATTTAAACGCTAAATCCCGCAACTTGCATCTCAAACACACTCGTAGCAAGCCGGCAGCATCTCACCGAAACTCCAGCAAAAATGTCTCCAGCCCGGCTCTGTTTGAATTGTTAAACGATGCGTGGAATATTCGCCAACGATTTTATAATGCATTTCCGAATTTTCTAACAGACGGCTAACAACGTAAATACATTGTAACAATAGCAAATCGAATTGTTTGGTCGAATATTTCAAAATGTAGCCGCTAATCTCGCGGGTTATTAAGTTACTAAGCAGATGCATATTATAAAACTACTGCTCGGAAACAAGCTTTGGAATC